AAAACGGCTGATAAAATATGTTGATTGCACATACAGTATACTGTATTCACATTTCTGAGGCAATACTTGGTGGAAGCACCTTTGGCAACAATTAGAGCTGCGAGTCTTTCTGGATATGTCTGTACCGTGTTTACAAACCAGGAGATAGTATTGTATTTCTTTTTAATTGTAGAATTGAATGCAGTGCTTCAAAGCTGCAATGAGTTTAATTATTTAGGGGTTTTATGTTTAACTTACTGTTAAGGAAATGTACGGTAATTTCAGAGATAGGATTCTTATTCATAAATATTTATTACTCTTGTTACTATGGTGTTTTTAGCAAGTCAGAATATTTTAATGATATCACTTACCTTTTACGTGTAGAATGCAGAAGTTCAAAACCAGTGCTATTAAGATTAAGCTCATGTCAATCTCAGGACTCACACTGTTGAATTCCCCATCAAAAATAAATAAAGATAAATATTACAGCAATTAATATCAAATCAATGTTGCCAGGTGAAGCGTTCTTTTCAGACTTGGGTCTTCTAAAGATATTCAAGTAAACATTTCATTCTGTTTAATTCTAAATATGGGGCTGATGTTATCATTTCCGTTAGTGTGAATAAGCAAGGAGATGTCTATTTTTACAATAGTTTAGAAAGGGGAAATGATATGAATATGTGCTATGACGTTTGTGTGGGGGAGTGTATCTGAGCTTTTAGTCTGTCGTGTTCAAAGAATGGGGTGTCAGAAAATGTGTTTAAATAAAAAACATTTGTGCTACTTAGTGTTCACTTGTGCTAAATAAAGTGCTGAATTCTAAATATTGCAAAGGTTGTAGTTCTGAATTCACTCCTAGTACTGTATATATATATTTTTTCTTGTTGCCATTAGTACAATTACACACATTCATAGCTACTTTTACAAACAAATTTAATCAGCCAAATAGGGTCACTTTCATAATCTATGTTAATACATCCTGTATTAGCTCTGCAGGTCTGTTGCAATTGAGCTGTAGCTGACTACATAAAGCTTCAAAAAAAAGACTTTCTGAGTCTCAAGTTGCTGTTTCGCAATAAGAATACTGGCTGTAAATTGTAAAAAACTCCACACTACTTGTACAGGGTATATTTATAACACAATTTTACATTTGATTCATTTTGATGGCATTGCTTCAAATGTTTTACAGCACTTTGGATTTTCCTTAATAGTCTTTTTATGATCTCCTTTCAAATGTGCATAAACCAAGCAAAGTGATGCTGTGCATAATCACCATAAGCTGTTACTGTAAGCAGGCATCTCAAACACGAAGGATTGCAGCGTCTTCTGGCTTTTCATTCACTCCAACTCATAGTTAGTTTGTTTGGTTAATTGGATAAATACAATAATTCTCTCCAGGCCTGCAAATTTTTAAATATACTGTATCAGGATTGCAAAGTATCTTTTAAGGTACCATCTATGGGGAAAAATGCAACATCCATTTGTCTAAGAAAATGATTTGATGAAGTTAATCTGAGTTCTCAGGTTGAAAAGAAAACTAGAAGGTAAAGCAGTCATCTAGGAACTGAGTCCCCCTCCTTAAAGTCATACTCACTTTGGTAGCAAAGAGCACTTCATTACACTAAGCTTTGTGAGCAGCTGGAATGAATTATCCAGCCCAGTCCAGCTGGACCTGAATGAACTTCAGTGCTGTGCCAGGTATCTCCAATCTTGGACCTGGAGGAACACGTGTATGTACAGTAGGATTTCCTGGGCTCAGTAGCAGTTGTGGAAGAATTAGGAAAAGTTTTTAAATTTCTTCAGTTCAGCTCTTGATATAGTTCATTAAGAGCATAAATGAACTGAAATCCTTTTTTCAGGAACGAGGATTGTGGATTTCTGTGCTATGCAGTAATTTAGTTTACACCCTGATTATCACTGATGTTGGGCTCCGTAATATTCAATGTACTGTACATGTGAAAATTCTGGAGTACTTCTAATCAGTGTGTGAGATCATGATTTTGTCATGTTAATTATATTGTATTTTTTTATGTTTGTCATGATTTTAAAATGATGGCACAGTGATTAGCATTGCTGCCTTGCAGAACTGGGGCACTGGGTTCAATTTCTGGGGTGTTATCTGCATGGAGTTTGTACTGTATGTTCTTTCCGTGTTCACGTGGGTTTCCTCTGGGTACTCCAGTTTCCTTCCACAGTCCAAACACATGCTGATAGGTTAATTGGCTTCTGGGAAAACTGCCCCTGGTGTAAGCTTGTGCATGTTAGTGTCTGTGTTTGTGTCTGTGCGTTTGCCTTGAGATGGACCATCCAGTGTGTACCCTGCCTTGTGCCCATTTGCTTGCTGGGATTGACTCTAGCTCCCCTGTGACCTCTGTATATTAGATGAAGCAGTTAGAAATTGATGTTTTAATTGTTTTATTCTACTAAAATAACCAAATTTCATTACAGTACCTTGGTTAAAGAGCTTGTTCAATTTAAAGTTGCATATTAATCTAAGATAATACCTAATTAAAAATGTGGCTAAAAGCAAAATGAATTAAATAATTAATTTACCTGTGTAACATTTGGGTGAGGGATGATTAATTGATCCGTTGAAGCAAGCAATTGACGTGGTTAATGGAGTGGCAATGGCTAATGGTTAGTGGCAGAATTAAGATGGTACTGTGTACAAAATCTGCACTGTGAGAACTGTCCATCTTCTTATCAGATTACATTTGGATTAGCCACAATTGGAAATCAAAACCTGTACAATGATTTATTGTTTTGGTTTCATTTTAAATGTTTTTAGAATGTTTTAGTTAAGGGATGGACAGCTTCTATTTTGCACAAGTTACATATACTGTATTTTTCCATTAGCATCTGATTAAGACCTAAAATAAATGATTCAAGTAGGTAGCTGCATCAGCATGCGTAGGCTGTAAAGGAACAAGTAAATGTTCATGGAATAAGCCTTTACTTGCCATCCTGGCCAGATTTCCCATTGGCCCTTACCAATCATGGCCTCCTTGTCACGGACGTCCAAAGGGACTAACCGTGGGGAGCAGGAGAGCGGAAAAAGACCCTAATGCGTAGCGGCGAGACGGGAAAAAGGCCCGGGCTCATAGTGCAAATAGTTCAGGAGTGCCGTATAGAAACCTATGCCCTCAGGGAGCGGACGTGGGGCGCCCTGGTGCTAGGTGGGTCTCAGGACATCCGAACATCAGTGCTGAGCGAGGACAGAGTGCAAGACCCGGAAATAAATAGCCCAAGGGAAAGAGAGGGACCAAAAGGACAGCAGACCGGAAACTAGGGACAGGACAGAGAAGGAGTGCCCTCTGGCTGCAGAGGGCGTGACACTCCTAATAATCCCCATCTATGAATTGGCTTCATTACTCTGTTCTCCTCCCCACTGATAGCTGATGTGTGGTGAGCGTTCTGGCGCACTATGGCTGCCGTTGCATCATCCAGGTGGGGCTGCACATTGGTGGTGGTGGAGGGGATTCCCATTATCTGTAAAGTGCTGTGAGTGGAGTGACCAGAAAAGTGCTATATAAGTGTAAGCGATTATTATTATTATTATTAAATAAATCACATCATATAGCTAAATATTTTATTAATTGATAAATTACAGACTTATATTAAAATTATATTAAAATATGCTGCGGATGTTTCACAAGATATTGGAACTGCCCAGCAGTGTTCTAAACCCTCCATCCTTCAACTATAAACTCTTATATATACTGTAGTAGCAAGATATACTGTGTTTAGCCTACATATATAATTATAAGTTAGTGGGTGTGAAAAAAACTATTTCACACCTACTATTGTCAGGAAATACAAAGCAGTAACACTTACTCGCATCCGTCTTTTTTGTTCTCTGTATGAATGTGGTAATAAAGTAAAGCAAAACTTGATCTGACAAATATATTTACAATAACAAACACACAGTACATATTACTGTTATGTACAGATATTTACAAGATTGTGAGTACCAGGATCCTACCTTCTATAGAACCATTATAACATGCAGAACTACTGTAGAGAACTGCATTCTATGTTTTAGGCACAAAAACGAGTAGGAATGAGGAATGACTAAATCATTTCCTAAAACTGTTGCTAAACAGATGATATCCTATTTCCATTCTTAAACAAGTGCATCGCTAAGCAATAGGGAGATTTCTTCTGCTCGATGGATACCAAAAATAGAAAACAAATTCTACTACTATTATAGGAACAAGTAATAGGTTTATTCCATGCTGAAATTTCATTAGATATTTTTAGCGGTGTGATAACAATAACGGGGAAATAAAAAATTCAATGAGAATAAAAACATTTTATTTAAAAAGATGCAAAAATGTAGCAGAGCATTTTGTTAACTTCACTCGAGATAAGATGTTTGCTTTATCCATTAACAGCTTGCTACACCTCACAGAATTTAAATAGGCAATAACTGACCGGGGGCAATGCTGAGATGCATACCCATTGATTTTCTATCAGTTAGCAATTGAAGATCTTTCTCTTGACCAGCAAACAGAAGCTTCTGGCAAGAGTAAATATATAATACTTAATAGATGCATGTAAATAGTCAGAAAAACACATAACTGTAGTGGTACACATATTCTCTCCCTCTTGTTCAATAAACACCTAGACATATTACAGTATTAAATATAAGATGGAGGTGAACAAATAACAAAGCCTATCATGTTTTGTGTGTATTTGATCATTATATATGTGATATTTGAATCAATCTATAATTATTGTATTTCACTTCACTTTAATATTATTTATTATTTTATGTAAATGGAACTTACTTAACCTGATATCACATGTTTAGACTGTTTCTGGCTGTCGAAATTGAATGCGTTTTTGTTCTTTTAAAGGAACTTAACTACAAACTCTGTTCTGCTGCATTTTGTAAAATAGGCTTGCTATCACACTTCTAGTTTACTTCTTTCCTAAAAAGGAAAGTGTAGTTATCTAAGATTCATAGGACAAAATCCAGGTAAATATCTAAGCCTTTAAGTCAACCTTTGGTCTCTCAAAGTCCAGCGATGAGGAGATAACACCTGAAGGAAAGAAAGGGAAGACTCCCTTTGGATTGTACCTCCACAGCGACAGGTGAGTTTTGGCGATCTAAATTTAATCTAATAAATCTATTCTATTGAAAAAGAGGTCCAAATAAAAAACAAGTATAGGTGAAAGTATGATTTCTTTAAAAGTATAAAGTAGCTTATATTACACTGGATTTTATCTGTATTTGTTTTTATATAACTTGCATAAATGTCTAGAATTTTGTAACGATCAGTAGTTGACCAACATGGTCACAGAAATGTACTGTAAATTTAATTGTCACTAGTTGGATGGTGATTTTTGTGCCCTTTGAATTAATACCATTGCTGCAAAAATAAGTTACTATATTTCATGAGAGAGAATAGAAATGTGTTGTAGATTGATTTGATCAAGATGAAATAGCAGTGAGCCAGAGAAAGTAAAAACGCAGAATTACAATTTAAAACTTCAAGGAACGTGAAGACCTTTGTGTTCAAAATGTGTATATAAATGTAGGTATATTTCTGTAAATAGCAAATGCAAACTTATTAAAACTTTGAGGCTAATTGTTTAATCTAACAGTCTAATATCAATTTGTGTGATGATTGCTCTTCTCCTACCAAGTCTCTCCATTTTGTATTTATAGATGTTTTACTGCTGAATGCTGAAAAGGTTTTTATATGTCCATAAAATATTTCAACTAAATGAATTTGCATTTTCTGTAGAGACAATGTTTTTCTAATATTTCTATCATTTTGTAATATTTTAAATTGGCTTGCTTTTAAACATGAAAACAAGAAAATCAAGAAATGTTTCCATAAAACATTTTAGATGAAAGGGGCATTGTATGTATTTCTGAAATCAGAAATGAAACTCTTGACATATGAACCAGTTCCTTAGGTATTTCTTTAGGAGTTTAGGAGAGAACCCCATTCACCAGAAAAATACAGTATCTCACAATAAAGACATGGATGTACTGTATGTATAGCTTATATTTACATCATGCTCCCACCACCAATAGATTTATTATTGTGGAACTGAAGGGCAGCTAGTCCTATCAAAGAGCTCAATAACCTGGTAACTTAAGAATTCCTAAGTTAATGATGAACAAGCCAAGGAATTTAATGTGAATCAGGTGATGTATGTGTCTAGTCAGCACATTTTGTTAATGCTAAACTTAATCTAGTCTCACATGTATTGACTTTTGCCCAGCTATAAGAAACATTTAAATTTCTTTAGTACTGAACTTGGTGTGTGTCCAGAAAATTAAATACGCTCTATAAATTTATTTTTCTGTGTATTTAGTTATAAAAGTACCTTCTTTGTTGTCAGCTAATGTCTGGCACAGGAATTAGAGTATCATGACAACACAATTGAAAATTACATACAGTGTATTTCAGAAAATAAAAACATCTGTTGATATAAAACAGAGTAATCAAACAATATCATGTTGCTGTCTTTGCAATAATGTCCTCATAGTCAGACTATGGGAGATGGCATAATAAATTACATTAAACATTGTTGGCATTATGTGAGGAATTACACTAAATATATTTTATTGGGCTTAAAAAAGAAAATAAACTTATTTCCACAGACATATTGCTTTATAACCTATTAATTCTTTATAATTACAATTTCAGTGGTACTAAATAGTATTCTGGCATTAGACATTCTTTAGAATGAATACATGAATTCCAATTGGAAAATGAAAACAGTTCAACAAAGCAATGGCTTACCACTGGTTCTTTTAACAATAATTTTCAGCAATTGGATTGGATTTTGCAAATAAAACAAGCTTTTAAGATTGTCAGTGGTGATGATGGCACCTTCTTGTCTGGTATTATTAGATGCCAGAGGCTAAGAAATGTGGGGCTCGATTAGTATCACGGTGGAAGACCTCTTAGGTAAATCACACTACTGATGTGATATACAGTAGTAGACGAGACGTTTCCCCCTAAAACAGAGTTTCCAAATTAATGCACCAGTGCAGTATATAGTAACAGTGGGCATTTTGCTATAGGAAGAGTCATCTTTCATGTGAAGTGTTAAACCACTGTTCATACAGTGCCAAGAAAACGTTTGTGAGATCCCAGTATAATTAAGGGGTAATTGTTTTTTTTTACCAAGATACCTTTCTTTAATTGAAACCAGTCTTTCTCTTGTGTGTTCAACTTTTTTTATGATCATACAAATAAAAACAAATTTCCCCCATTACCCCCTCCCATCCCAAGTCATTCTTGAATAAACAAAATGATTTATATTTACCAGTTCAATGTTTTTTGAGACCCAGCAAAAAAAATAATAATTAAGAAATTGTACTGTATGTAAAATAATGTTAATCCCTTGTTTATTTGGCTAAATGGTGTAATTAGACCAGGTGGTTAAATAATTGGTTACAAAAGACACAAGGACTGAGTATAGGCGGCCTTGTCCTTGAGTATGGGCAGTCCTGCCCAAGAACTCCCCACCACGAGCATCCCAGAAAAATGAAAAACCCTCAAAAATGATCCAGCAAGTCACTCCAGTTAACAGAAAATCATCCAGTAAACCCTGAGTAACATCTACAGTTCTGCAGGCCTCTCTCAGTGCAGTATCAATGTTCATGACTCACCTACAGTATCACAAAAACCTGAATTGGAATGACCAAGAAGAAACCATTTCTCCATAAAAAGAACATTTTCAACTCACAATCACAAAAGATGATCTAGAAGATGTATCCTCTCTAGATAAACAAGTCAAAGGTTAAACTTTCTAGCCACAATGAGAACTGTTTTGTGTGGCAAAAAAGAAGCAAAGACATCCAACAGGAGAACCTCTTCCTGAGGTTGATGGAAGTAGGAGTATCACATGGTTTGTTCTGCGTTGCTACCTTGCAGTCCGGATGGTTTACTATCATTGAGGGAATCATTCATTCAGAGCTGTATCAGTAAATTCTGGAGGATAATATCAGGCCATCCTTTTCCCAGACAAAAGTATGTCATGCAGCAAGACAACTATCCTAAACATACAAGCTTGAGAAGAAGAAAATTTACAATTTGTATTGGCCAAGTCAATGGCCAACATGAGAGGACCTATAGTGAGTGGGTTATCGGAGTATAAAAAGCTACTGTACCCAGCCACACTGTTGGAGCTGACAACCTGGTTCCTTTCAAGAAAAGGCTCAATGGGATCCATGGAACAATTACTTACTAATAAGTTAGATGGGCTGATTGGCCCCCTCTTGGCGTAACTTTTCTTATGTTCTCAAGTTCATGCAATGAAATCCTCAGATTTCACCAATAAGCTAATACATTATACAAGCTAATACAACTGAGTGATAAATAATTTTAAAGGAGATGCCACTAGTTACTGAATCTAAGGGTTAGCATATTTATATATCCGGTTGGATCATTTGGTTAATTAATTACTAATTCTACTTATTTTTTCCACTGTTGATTAGTATTCACTCCATTTAAACTAAAATTTTGTTTAAAGTTAACTGTAAGATTAAACAACAGAGCTGAGCTATTTTACGCAAACAGATGACAATAAAAAACAAGAGATACTGTGCCAATTGGGATTGTCTGACTGAAAGTCAGAGTTAACATTCTACAGGATACACTAATACTGTATATTTCTGATTAAAACAGAGTTTGTTGTGATGTTTCTGGACAGTTCTCAAAATGTTGGAAGCATATATTTTCATTATGATTTTACAGTAGGTTATCTCCTCTAGATTTATCACTGTCAGAAAATGATGATATCAGTCAGAAAGGTTTGCTAAAACTACCCATGCAATAACTGCTAAGCAGAAGACAAAACTGTTAGAATACAAATACGAATCAGTGGTTTGCACAGGAAATCCTGTTGACATTTAGAATTACAATAGCTGCTTTGGGGCTTCATGTCTTCTGCAATAATGACCCACCTTGAGAGATGTTTACACTACAAAGCTTTTGTAGCACAGAAAAAGTAAAGTTCATCGTGTATCTATCATTTATACTTACTAAAAAAACAAAACTTGCAGTCTCTTACAATTGAACAGCAATAGCAACTGCAGGCTACAGGACAGGCAAAGTTCTCTAGTGGAATAGTTAGTTATTGAATGCCACCATATATTGTAGACCCCATATGCAGTAGGAGAGGCACACAACCTTGGCTGTTCCAGTTAAGTCCATTGCATTTCTTTGTTCCAGCTTATCCTAATGATCAAAATGATCTTCAGCACTTGGATCAGTTAAGGGTCAATTCAGAAACTAATTTGTTGGAATGTTCAAAGTACCGTAATGGAAAGGAATGAAAGGGTCCAGGTTGCCTACAGTACTTTTGCCAGACAGAGGTATTTCATATCACCATGCTCAAGTGAGTCTTGCTGAACAGGTGCTAGATTATAATGGTACATTGGACTTCATAGCAAACAGTCTACCTCTCATTTCAGTTTTTTTTATTTCATGCATGCTGCATTAATGAAGTTAAGTTTAAATCACACATTCAAAATTATGCATGAAAAAACAGAACCCTATATTCACAGCGGTTGGCTTGCATTTGCCAGAGATGGCCTCTTTTCAGCCACGAGTCATCAAACTTACCAAGAGTGAAGGCCAGACCTTCGGCTTCTTCCTGCGTGTGGAGTACGAAAAGGAAGGGCATCTCATCCGCAACATTGAAAAGGGAGGTCCCGCTGAACAGGCAGGACTGAAAGATGGGGACCGAGTCCTGAGAGTCAATGGGACCTTTGTGGATGATATGGAACACTCAAGGGTATGCCTGTCATTGTATAATTTAAACCAAAACTCAGACTGCTGAAATTAGCTACAATTTATGCTCCTTTGAAAACCCATTTTAAGACATACAGTAACAATTTAAAAAATATATATTTTCAGCTCATTAGAAAAGAGACACAGTATGCATAAAAGTCTAATACCAATTCTTTACCCATTATTATACCATTTTCCAGTCACTTTTTGGATGTGGTTGCATATACTAGAGACTAGAATTACATTGGAAACTAGAATTACACTGAGAATGGGAGCTCTTGGAAACTCCATAGATGTCTTCTGTAACCATAATTTGACTCTGCTGAATGAATATATTAAATACATATTAAAGAGTAGGACAACATAGTACAAAAGGGATAAAGCAAAGCATTTCAAGTAAAACAATATATAGAAATGTTATTAGTTGTAATGAATATAACAAAATTGAAAAATACTGTATAAACAGTTATTTTCTTTGTACACCAACTTTCCCTTGTCACATTGCACTTGGTAAGGTCAAATCATAGAACGAGTTCAGACACAAGAAGTGCTAGTCAGATCCTTAACAAAGCTGTGATAGGCACGACATAACCTTTTATGGTTTATTTTATACTTTACACACTGCACAGTATGCACCACACTTGCTAGTACAGTTTAATATACTGTACATTATTGAACTATTGAAGTTACTAATGAATCTGATTTGCAATTATGCGAGCCAGCTTAGTTATACTACTTTTTAGGCTTTCTTTCTCTTTCTCTGCCATTCTCTACTAGGTAGTGGAGTTAATTAAAGAAAGTGGGCTATGTGTCACATTTCATGTCCTGGATGAGGTCTCCTATGACAATGCAAAAATCAGCAATATAAGCCTGTCTGAGACAGAGCTGTCCAAGCCATCAAAACCTCCAATGATGAATGGGGTGGCAGCGTCATCTCTGAAACCCAAACTGTGCTTTCTGGTGAAGACAAATGATGGTTTTGGATTTTCCTTGAAATCTACTAAAGGTGAGTGTTTGTAAAATAATTAGGGTCTGTTAGCTGACACAATATGTTTACAGAGGATGTGACATGTACTTTGTCCAACGATTAATGCTGTTTTCTTAATAATAATCAGCAGCTGTAAACTGCTTTAATATCCTTTATGTGATGCTTTTTTTCTGTGTTAATGAATGCTTATATGGTAATAATAGGGTACCATAATACCATAATAAAATATACAAATAAGCTGAAACTAAATGTTTTAGAGACCTTTATCGTGAAACTGTAATAACAAAGACTTTTATACTAAGCATCTTTTGGTATTTCAGGGATTGCACATTACACACTGAATTACATAGGGACCAAAAAATGACAATATCCTGCTGTTAAGTACTTTTTTTATTCACTGTGATTCTGTGCTTGTACAAAGGGTATCAAGGGATGTTCATGACAGATGTGAATCCTTCCGGAGCTGCAGAAAAAGCTGGCATCAAAAACAATGATCGTCTCATCGAACTTAATGGTGAAAATATAGAGAGCTGCACTCATGATCAGATTGCTACCAAGGTATTCCAATATAAGTTCTGTACTGTGCTTAGAAGAGTACAGCATGGTTTAACTTTAACATTGAAGTTTGGCATTGCCAGCAGCTTATCACCCTGCAACTCACAACTAGTAACCCACTGAAGCTAAGCGGGTGTATGCCTGGTCAGTATCTAGATGGGAGGTCTAAGGCTGGAAGACATGTAAATGGGGCCAACAGGAGGCACTTACCTTGAGGTCTGTGTGGGTCCTAATGCCCCAGTATAGTCACAGGGACACGATACTAAAAAGGCACCATCCTTTGGATAAGATGTAAAACCGAGTTCCAGACTTTCTGTGGTCATTTAAAATCCCAGGGTGTTTCTTGAAAAGAGTAGGGGTGCTACCCTAGCATCCTGGCCATATTTCCCATTGGCTTTTACCAATCATGGCCTCCCAATAATCCCCATCTATAAATTGGCTTCATCACTCTGTTCTCCACCCTACTGATAGCTGATGAGTGGTGAGCGTACTGGCGCTCCATGGCTGCCATTGCATCATCCAGGTGGATGCTGCACATTGGTGGTGGTGGAGGGGAGTCCCCTTTACCTGTAAAGCACTTTGAATGGAGTGTCTAGAAAAACACTATATAAGTGTAAGGAATTATTATTATTAGCATTGCTTTAGTGAAGCTTGAGTTTTTCCTGAGAGGTGGTTGAATTTTTTTTTACAAAACAAGCAAACAAGACCTAGCCAAGGTTATAACTCATAATCTTTGAACTAACCTGAATCAATATGGAAAGAAGTTCACAGGATATCCCGATCCTGACACCGTATTTTCAATGGAATCGTTGTTACTCTAGGTGAAGGACTCTGGCAACACTGTCATGTTCTTGCTTGTGGATGAAGAGACAGACAGATATTATAAAAACAACAAGAAACTGAAGCTGGGAGCAAGTCTGGCAACTGTAAAACATCTTCCACATAAACCACGTATCACTGAACTGACCCCAGGTCCTGACGGCTATGGTTATTACCTAAGGACTGGGAAAAATCAATCAGGTAGGCACAGTATCTAAATGATTTGGCTTTGTTATAATCTGATAGGATATAAAATGACTTTAGATTTTTGTTATCAATTCTGAGTATAGAAAATATGAAGCACTGCCTTTTAATTAACCACCTTCTTTGCTATAGGCCACTTTATTAAAGATATAGATCCAGGAAGCCCAGCAGAAAAAGGCGGTCTGAAAGAACTGGATCGATTGGTGGCTGTAAATGGAGAACCTGTAGGTTCCTTAGAGCACGAAGAAGTAGTGGAGAAGATAAGACTTTGTGGAATGAAGTGTACTATGATGGTTATGGATGAAGAAACACACAGAATGTATATTATGGTAATTACATTTTTACATCATTAAAGGTTTCAGTAAGAAAATAATAGCTTTTACTTTTTTTCTGCAGGAATTCTTGTCTTGTTTAAAGATACACATAAAAAATTAAAACGCAGGACCACTTTCAAAACTTGTATCTCCACTGCCTTACTGTGCCTTACTGCCTTCTTAGCACAACCTGTCTGGTTAAGGGAATGATAACCTGATAATTCGGAAGAATCTGTGAGAAACTGCAAAAGGACCCCATTAGTCAAATCAGAATTCTTAATTGCAGATTTTAAATTCAGTATGTCTCATATTATTCATCTTTAATCTGATGGAAACTTCATAGGCTTCTGAAGTCCGGAGACATAAGTACTTGATCTTGTGATCAGGAATTCCCCATTGAGAAGCAGAGGAAGTTGTGCTGATCCAAAATGAACAGACAAAAATCACAGTGATGAATCTTATCAACTCTGAAAAGATGCAGGAACCAGTGCCCAATCACTCTTTCTTCATTTTCATAGATGAAAAGCCAAACAGCATGGCTAATCAAGATAACTGTGATTAATAGTAAGAGTGGAGAGGTTTGTTAGGGGTCATTCCTTGTTTAGTCTATTTTAAACTAATAAATATACCTTGCTCTCATTGGTCAGTTTTGCTTCTTTTCACTTTAAGAAAAGTGATTGTGCCATTGGAACTGAAATAAAAGTGTGAGGTTGTGAAGTTTGACTACAAAATTCCAGTAACAGTTGTCATAAGGTAATTTCTGGTCTACACTGAGCATCTAGAGTGATGGGACGGTGTAGGTAAGACATGGTAGCCAGGAATCGGTGATCCACTATTGAATAATCGTGAGAATTCCAGAATGAGGTGAGAAATGTTTTGAAACAACTGAGTTTCTCTTGAGATAAGGAGGTGCAAAAGTGAGAATCCAAAATAATCCCCAGAAATTTGCTGTATTATTAAGAATTTAATAAATGGTTAGTATTCGGTGTCAGAAATTTCCTGTAGTAGTTACTGTATGTCTCTGCTACTATTTTAATCAGGGAGGGGTTTCTCCTATGCAGTACTGGGAGGAAGTAAAGGATTCCTACAGTTATGCTCCAGCACCTGTCCCAGCCATTCCCCAACAGGCAGAGGAGTCAGCATCTGTACCAGCCATTCCTGTGGAGAATCCCACACCAGAAGCACCTTTAGCCATTCAAGAGCGGGAAGACTACAAACCTAAACTCTGCAAACTGGAGAAGAGCCCTACTGGGTTTGGTTTCCACTTAAATGCAATCCGAGGAGTACCAGGACAGTTCTTCAAGGAGGTAATGCCTATTCAGAGTTGTAGGCAAAATAATGCAAATAACACTTTTCAGTTAGGACCATACAATAGTGCAATTCATCACAGAGCAAGCACACCAGGTATTGGTGTTTACTGAAATCTATACAAAAGCTTAGAATAAGTGAAATCCCTTTATATGATAAGAATTCAAAACAAAAACACAGTTTGATGCGTTAATGTTGTGTCTTTGAACATTACCAAGATACACCCTGATGCAATAGTGTGATGAAACTAAATATACTGCAGTCACCAAAAATGTAGCCATTAACTGCAGATATTTTCTTACACATTTTGAATAGGTTAGTTTGATTTGATATTCACAACAAATCAAAACTACTATGTGGTGTTCAAATAAATGTAGATGCTGATTGAAAGTAGTTTGGTCAAATTGTTGTATTGTGAGCTAAAGGTCTTTTGTTTATTATCTGCAGTATAGATTAGTATATTTTCACAGATCCATCCACATCATTATAGTACTGTAAAGTCATAATTGCTGTTCTTGTGCAATTTCTGAGATTCATGGTAGATTGTTTCTTTAGGTCATTCTCTACATACTTCTGTTCAAATCGATGTAGCCAGTTGACTGAGGCATGACATTGTCTATAATTCCTACTGTCTGTAGGTGGTGGAGGGAGGGCCTGCCGACAGAGCTGGCCTGAAGGATGATGATGTTTTGATTGAGGTGAATGGAGTGAATATTGAGAACAGTAACCACAATGAGGTGGTGGAGATGATCAGGAATAGTGGCAACAATCTGGAAGTGCTAGTGGCTGAGAAAGAAGCATACGACTACTTCAGAGCCAAACAGATTCCCATCACTACTCTCCTGCTGGGGATATCAATGATAGAGGCAGCTCATGACCAGCCTAAGCCAGAAGAGTCCCAAGAAGAAGAAAAAGAAAGGGAAGATGAAACGTGTAAAAGGCCAGATACTCCACCCAGTCAGGCAGAGACCAGAGATCGGGTGAGTGCTCCTACTGTTCTAATACCATCCTTTTCTGATACATGAAACAAAGACTTATTGGAGGGAAAGTTTTTAACAGGTCAGGTACAAAAGCCAACCCATCTAATGATAAGATAAGGTCACTTTATTGACCACATACAACCTCTTGCATTAGAATTTGTCTTTTTCACATACGCCAGCTTGCTCTCCATGAGACACACAGACAGGGAGAGAAGCTTGGAGTCAGAGCAAAGGGTCAGCCATTTATAAAGCACCCCTGGAGTAGCTGCGGTTAGGAGCCTTGCTCAGGGGTAGGATTCCTCTGCCAGCTGCGGGATTTGAGTCGGCAACCTTCCAGCCACAGGCACAGGCACAGAACTCCATTGCTTAATCCAATGATTAGGAAATGAAACAGAATCCAACTCACTGGCTGTTCTTCTGAAGTGTACAATAGTTGTTTTGCCTGAAGCAAAAAGTACATTGCAGTGTTTTTAGATGTGAAACCTTCATCGTAGTGACCTTCAGATGTGAGTTTTCTTAAAAACTGGCAGTAACGTTTTTGCATAAGCAGAAAACATATATAAGAATATATAAAAGAAGAAAGATTTTTTTTCAGATTATTTTACTTTGCAATACCTGGCCCAGATCTTTAGCTGTAAGCTATAAAGTAAACTGATTTAATTAGTATCCACCACTTTTAAAGCGCATGTTAATGTATATTTTCTCTTATTATATGGAGAACAGTTTTTTTGTATTACATGTACTGTATATGTACAGTTTTATATTCTCATACTGAATGAATTATAAAGAGCTGTCAAAAGATTTTGAACGTGAAATAAAGAAAAGCCTATAAAAGGGATTCCCTTTGACTTTAGACTACAATACGTCTGCTCAGAAAGAAAAGGAAGTGATGATTAATATTGGTCACGGTCCTTTGTGTATTTTGGTCCATCCCCTTAGTTAAAGCCCAGGAGATGTGACATGTTGGCTTTGGCATTTTCATTTTATAGTAAGGAGATTCACCTTTCAACTCCACACTAGAAATCAACCTGAGCTTCTTCTTAGAATAAGTCTTTGAACTGGACTAATTATAATCAAAATTAATTAATTTAATTTTAATTTTAATTTGACAAAATAATATTATTTGATAGGAACAAGCTAAATGTGTTTTTTTTCTTTCATAGTCCTGCTCATCTTCGTCATCGTCATCATCTAGTGAAGATGAAAAGTTTTGAAGACGACAGATTTCTGCTGTTTCAGATTTGGCTGTTTAGAAGTGGGATTTCATCAGTTTTGAACAGCATTCTGGATGTCAATAGAACATTATGCAAACAAAGTTAATAATTTTTAAAATTATTGTATAGTAAAGAGCAGAGCTCAGAAATAATAATAAAAAAGGCATCCATAATATATAACTCGTAATGTTTAGTATTTTATTTTGATATCATTAGTGGTAATATTTTAAAAATACTCCAGATATCTGTGTTGCCATATACTGTAATTTTTAGATTACAGCCCAAGAGCTCCACTGAAATGTTTTCCATATTTCAGGTTCAGTATTTTCTCACCTGTATCTGCATATACTGGACACACCAATAAAGTCAACCTACATGTAAAGAAGACAGTAAACACAGAACACAGACCCCCCTCCCCCCAGAAAAAAAAAAGATTATACATCAAGCACATTTCAACACTTACTTAAAATATATTAGTTCAGTAGTCTGGTTAAATTCTAATCAAGAGATAGAGATCTCCTTCTGAAGAAAAAATAGTGTTGAGTATTAGAGACCTGTTCTGACTTAATGCCAAAACATTGTTAGGCCCTTATACTGTACCTCTCTATGTCACTATATCCAAACAAACACAAATTAAATACTTTGGGAAGATTTCTACATGACTCACCCAACAATTGGAAGATGATTTGGTAGCAGAATAGAGCATAACTGTGCAATCCTATAAAACTTTCCTTGCAACTTACATCTTCTTACGTCTACTTATGTAAGTCTTTGCAATAACTGTAGTGACTAGAATTTTATTGCCTTAGCGTTTTCCAGAGAGAAATGATTGAAGACAATGTCCATTCCATATGAAATGTTTAATTGTGCATGGTACACAGAATGCATGGTATCTAGATGATTTCAGTGTAATGTAAATTTTTTGGTTAATTTGAAATTTGCTATTTTCAGTTCTAAATTACACACCATGCATATAACAGCAAATGAGGTCAAGTGTCAGTCTGTTCTCAGCCCATTTAATAACAAAAATGTTTCACGCAATTGACCAAACCACATCCTGTTTCCCCAACTATTGAGACACGACAGAAATGTGTTATAGAAATAAAACAAAACAATAGTGCTAAGAAATGTATCAGGAAATAGTATGAATGTGTTTTTTCTTTTAAAACTCTATAATGCCCTTTAGTACAATTTCTTCTAATCATCTGCAGTAAATATAAACATCCTAATGACTATTATGCCAACATGAAATGGATCTTATTGGGTTTTTACACCAAGACCTGAATTAATGGGCTAATTCATCCTTTTTAGAAGTACTGTACATGCACTCAGTTCTTTGGAAATGTTAATTAAAATATGACATAGCATTTAAAAAATAAAATGTATTAAAAAATAAAATGTATTATTTAAATGTTAACAAAATACTAACTTATTTCTTTGGGAACATTATAATATGCCACATTAAGTAAAAATACTATTCTGTCAAGTCTTCTGTAGTCAGTAAACACTCCAGAGCTGTTTGATGTTAATTATTCTGAGGACACTTCTCAGGAATCTGCATTGGCACCTGTACTTTTCCACACACGTCCAAAGCTTTTTGCTCCATTCCACTCTTTAATTTTCCTAACTTTAAACTAAATCCAGCATTTTTCCATGTTTTTCAATTGCCCCTGAAAATGAAGAATAACCATTACCTTAATAGAAAAAGCTTTCAAATTCACTTATCACTGATCCTTGTACTTTGAGAAAGTGCAAATGTCTGCTTTATGATAGCACACATACAGTAGAAGGTTAATAGGCAAATAAATTACTAGCTCTAAATATGACAGACTTAGTTTAAGACTGGACAAAGAGCAGAATGTATTTTAAGTAACAGAAAAAAAGATTTTTATAATGCTGGTGAGTGCTGACTTGTTTCTGGAAACTGAGTGGATATTACATCTGAGTAATTCTATTTTATAACAATCAGCTTATTCATTTGTCATCAAAATTAAATGTACTTAGTACTCGGTGAATTATAATAGTTCAAAGGAAGTCATGATGTTTTTCCATAAAATCAGCAACTTTATTTACCATTTATTTTATATTACACTCCAAACATTTTTAAATGCATACATTAAATATAAGATATATCACTGGACACTTGTTGCTTTATAACAACATTATGAGCTGTGTTTCTTTCTTGCAAAATGTCCACTAAAAATTGTCTAGATTCCAATCAAGATAAAGTTTGTTGTGCACAAGCGCCCTCAAGGACATGCATGTCTAAGATGTTATTTTGCTGCTCACGTCCCAGTAAATAATAACCAGTTTTCAATTAGTTTGGCTCAACACTGCATTCTGGAAAATGTACAGAGAAGAGATAAAAAGGAAAAAATGCATCCTGCAAGACATGCACCGCCATGCTACTGACTGCTGTCTCTAATTATGAGATCACTGTGTCGATGGCAGAGTTGGAACATCAAAGTGAGGAGAGACATAAGTTAGCAGGTTTCTGACGAGTCTCAAATGTCATTGTTGCACAAAAAGTATTTCATGGTCAAGTTAAAAGTATACAATCCCAGTAACTCTCTACCGATATTGTGCCACAATTCAGTATTCATACATTCATATTAGGCCAGAGCTATAGCCAAGATTCAAACCAGTCATCTCTGACCTATTGAATGCAGCCATCATTTTGAACCTATGCTCGATGATCCATTCAGAAGCTCTCAATATCTTTTAAAATACATTTACTCCTTATTTGCACCCCGAAGAATAAACAGTTTAGAGTTGGCCTGTACTCAAACTTTCAATAAATACTTCACATTAATATTTTCCTTTGACATTTAAAGAAATGTATTCAATGTTTTTCAGTACAATGGAATAATAGCTAACATGGAAGGCTGTCCCCTATCAAAATATTTCTTTTTCTTTGCCCAAAAATGTACCACTAAGCTGTTCAATATTTTTCCACCTTACATAGTTTTGGGCACTACATCGGCCAGTGGCTGCTATTTTGTCTGCTGCTCTCATCCAGCATTTGTTTTAAGAAACCAGTCTATCAGTTTTTAAACATGCTGTAGCTTGTTTCTGACCAACAGAGAAAATAAATGCAAAGAAATGCTTCCTATTTTCAGTTTAAATGTACATCCCCTTAGATTCCACTATTGTCTTCTGGTTTGTTGAACTTTAAAAAAATCCATTGGTCTGACATTGTCAAAACCTTTGAGGATTTTAAATGCCTGAGTCAAGTGTCTGATCATGATCATAATAAAAGCTTTCTTCTCTTAAACTGTCAATACAGGACATTCCTATAAAAATGAACACACTCACCATTCTTTAAAGCAGCAATGCCTTTTTTCTGGAATACTAAAATAAAATGAAACGTACTAATCTTAATGAAGTCTTACTTGTGCATTATGCCATTTCAACATAATATTTGTAGAGAGCTATGTAATTGTGTGGATCTTAAAATGACACCTGCAGTGGTCACTGGCTCGGGTTGAGATCTCGAGCTCACGAGCTCGAAGGGTGAGTGAGGGGGTATTCCTGTGGATACTTTAGTCCTTTGGAAACAGAAATAGATTGCAGAAAAGGCTAGAGTTTTCAGTTCTGGGAGAGAAAAGGAAATGTATGCCTTAGTCTTAGCCTTAAAGCTGGGTGAGGTTCTGAGACGAACGAAGACACATGCATGTGATAATCTTAGTTCCTCCTGTCTGTGGAAGCAGCTGTCAGTAATGATTTTATCATTCATTCCCACATGGCTGTTAAAGATTTACCACACCCAATTCTTTACCTTAATGTGCCCTCTAGTGGTGACTAGCTGATTTGGAAGGCATCTGCTTTGCCACAGCTGGTCACAGTGTCATAAAATTGAGAATTCCTTTATTAATCCATTACAGCTGAATAGAAATCAACTCTCAAACTATAAAAATGCTGAAAGGTGTGTTGCAACCAGCTTGTCAAACCCTGAAGTACCTATGTATATACTGTATACATGTTTAGGTAATTACTAGCAGATTGTATAGAATAAAATCAGCTTAAAATTAAATTCATGCAAAACTAGTCAACCACAAATGAGCCCACTATTAATGACACAGGCCCTTATTGCTCATTAATGATTATCTTCTGCAGTATTCTTCAGTCCTTACACAGTCTCAATGTTCTACACAGATCTCCGTTCTGCAATGTGCTTAGCCATCTTCACAGACTTCTTTTAAACCATTGGTAGAGCCTCACATTTAATGTAAGGCTTCTTACTGACTACATTTCCTTTGATGAATATGAAAGATCTCGACTTGAACTGCATGTTGCTGGTATTTTGCCCAGTCACTATTGTCAGCTAGCAAAATAACTAGATAGTGCAGGCAGCCATAGTGGCTATGATGATGGTGTCATTTGCAAATACTCTAAGTGGAAAAAGCCACTTACTAGTATCGAGGCCTTATCTCCTCCGTCACAATAGTCCCACACATGTTAAAACCCTAATAATAACTAACTCTACCATGTTGCAAGTCATGCAGATTTCTATAATTTTCCAATATCAAAATACTGCCAATGAGGAACTCTCAAGTTGAAAATAAAAAATGCACATTGAAAAGCAAACATTCAACAGACAAATGTTCTGTAACTTGAAAACCTACTGTCCATGTAGCTCATATACAGTAGTACCAATCCACATGCATTCTTGAAAAATGATATCCAAAAAAACAGGGTAATTGGTGCCATCTTAAAGGCGAGGTAGGCTATACACAAAGAAAACCTTTCAAAACAGTTGCTCATCTATTCATAAAAGGTACCAGTTATTCAGCAGAACTAGATGAATCATGAAAACACAAACCTGTCTTCTTCTGTTTGCCAGAAAATTTCAGGCAGTTCATCTCCATGCTCACTTTTCAAAGTCTACTAAAATACAATATTTACCATTTGTGTCATATGTTAAGCCCACAGTCTGTTCCAGCATCATGTCAGAGTTGTGCATTTCCTCTCCAAAGATATAAGACACTCCATCTTTTTCTCAATCTTATTTCTCATGCTTACAGGTTCTTTCCAGAGTGGACTTTCCTCTTATGTCTACCAGCCTCCAGTCGGAAATGTTTGGCCTTCTCTATAATTTTAACTGTTTTATACTCTTTGCCCAAACCTGTTCCCACATTAGGTATAATAATGGGCTTGTAGTTTCCCCTCGCCATTTCTGTCTGTGTACTCACGGCAGCAAGCTATGTGTTTGGTCAATATACTCTCAAGTGAGAGCTGTTGGTAGTTTTATTTCAAACATATTATGCATATTATTTAAATATTTCACCGAGCACATCATCTACTTGCAGCAAAATGTCAAAATAAAACTGTCCTATAGGTTTTGAAATTGAATATTTAAAGATAACTATATAACATCTCCTGGATTGTGGTTTGCCACTATCTTTAACACTTTTGACTCTACTATGCTAATATTAATATAGCAATATAAGTCTTTTCTATAATAAAATAAAAGTCAATGCATGTAGTGTGCTGTAAACATCAACAATACAAATTTTAGCCAATTTCCCGTAGGCAACATTTTCATGCATGTTATTAAAATCTAGAAACAGAGAAAAGGTGGGATGTTTGGGTGGATGACTGAATGATATTGACTCAAGCAGATACTGTTTTAACATTAAAACTGGCCAGACTTAAGAGCATTACTCATTTTATTCTGTGATACCCAAAAAAGAAACACTTTAAACATTAATGCAGTATTAAAAGCTTTTCAGTGTATTACACATCTCCTTACCAAAAAATGAAATAAAACTCCTGATATTTGATACTTAACATCCATTCCTGATTCAGGAACATTTTAGTCACAGAAGGCCAGATTGCTCAGTCCTGCTTGATGACATTTAGAACGTACACGCACATTCATATATACATAAAAAGCGAGTTTGTGTCTCAGTCCCCAGTGATGTGCTCCATTTCAACGTCCACAATGTATCACATGGTCATGTGTTTTTCAGGTGCTTGCTTGTGCGCTAGATAGAGAAACAAGATACTGGAGAGAGCACTGACCAGGAAAATCACATCAAACCAACGATGATAAAAATTGAACTGCAGCTCTCCCAGCACCTCTGTCACAATAGTCCGGTACTCCAAGGGCATGCTCATGCGCATCAGCAGAACAGATGAGACAAAATACATCCCCTTCAAATGAAATACAAGCAGGTCAAGTCAACCACTAGCATCGGACATTCATTTTGTCTCTACACCCTTTCAACTACCATTTAATAAATACAATTAGAAAATCTGTTGTCCATAAACAAAATGATATATTCTAAGAGAAACTTGTTCAACATTCTAAAACGTAAAACTATATTTGTATGCCTTAATTACAATTCGATTTAATTTATGTTTATTCCCAGTAAAAGTCTAAATTATTAATAAGGTCAAATTAACTTTTAATAAAAACAAAATAATATTAAAAAGGCTACCTTACCATGATTTGTGCAAGAACCAGTACTATGACATTCGAGGATTTACTGCTTGAAATTGCATAGAAGAACTGAGGAGTAAGCACAAAGAAAACAGAGGATGCATACACAAGACTGGAAAAACGACATTATATATTTTTAAAATCATAAATATACTTATTCATAATATTATAATATTTTTACAGATCTTTGTCAAGGACAGTCATAACCTAAACATAAGACCTAAACACAATCTTAAACCTTCAAAATCACTGGAGAGGTTGAGGGAACCTCACCAACTAGTTGCAGTGAAATTCAAATGACATTAAAATTCAGTTATACTAAAAAGTAGAAACTGCAACTTTTTCTCTAGTACGAGTAAATAATAATGAAGTGTACAGTATTCCACGAACACTTGCAAGACAAAGCAAATAACTTACACAAATAAGTTATTTACTTATTAAAAATTAATTATTTGAACAATATATGTATTTAGACACCTATAGCATTGTTGACATTAGTACTGGTGACACTAACCAAATTCTAATTAAACTAAATTACTGAATAACGACCAGGAATGATGGTTGCCAAAACTTGTGAGTGAGTGTAAAAGGATACTGCATAATAATTATTCCTCTGTTTATGTGGCAAAAAAACAACAACACAGCTATCCTTTGATAGGAGGCATAAAATAAAAGGTGATCCTCTGCATTGTACTATAACACATTTTTATCTGATTCAATTACCTCATTCAGACTTTTTTTTAAAACACTGATCACATACCTTAGTAAGTGTTATTAATAAGCCTCTGATGGAGGTCACAATGATGATACCAACGAGAATGAAGGATATGTGCTGAGACCAAAATTTTACCTGCAGAAAAAAGCAAAACTTTAAAGGGTAGAAAGAACTGGCAAAAAACAAAATAGGTAGCTGTCATTCCAATGAATATTAAATAGCCCCTGCATTTCCATTATAGGTTCTGTTCAATGTCTTGAGAATGATCAAACATTTTTTGAAAAGATGTCACTGATGGCAGTGATCAAGATGTACTGTAAGTTCACAGTCTTTTCCCACCTACAGATCATTTGCTTCTGCTTACATCAAACTGAATGCCTAGGTAATTGACTGTGATCTCAATTCCTCTTGTCACTGGGTCCGTCTTTCCAACACGGTCAAAAACAATGTTGATGGTAGCCTGAAAACAAACCAATACAATTGCAGTCACACAATCATGTATAGGATAACATCATGCCCAGAAAAATCAAAATCCTTTCTTAATTTGAGCCTTTCTTTTATCTCCTTGGCAGAAACATTCAAGGTATGAAAATATGAAATTCAAAACATATCTATCAAACAATTAGAAGAAACAACAGAGGAATTAAGAGATCCTTACCATGAAGATTTTCCAAACACAGTAGATAGAGAAGAAGTAGCCTAAGAAGTTGAAGTATTTTCCCTGAAATGTTTTAGAGTATTCTATCCTTTCCTAGGGGCAAAACACAAAAATAATTACCTTGAACAGGTTTTAATGAATCAACATTAGTTAACATTTTAAGATACATTTGTAATAAGTCACAGTAATATAAAGACACACTTCTAAATAACAAATATGCTGCACATGTTGCTTTCCAAGTATAAACACCAGACAAAACTTGATCAATGTTTGGGTGCCAATCGTTAGCTTGTAAACAACCTTTCTTCTCACGTACCTAAATAGAAGCTGGTCAATTTTGGCAAAACTGTTTCCAATTATATATTATAGATCACAGTGTCACTATAAGTTCCCTAATTAAATAAATTCAAGGCCACACTTCATGTCTTGCTGTGACTAACTTTCTTCAACGTTATAAAGTGGGCAGGACTTTCTAACCACATCACTTATATTTCAAAATCTAGTGGTTATAGCTTGCCATTTTAGGTTACCAAAAAAAGATTGCTACATTTTGGTAGGTACATGCTTATTCCACTTTTGAATTGACTAGAAAACATTTGTAAATTCCTTTGTCCCAGTCCCTTTGTTAATATCCACAATGTATTAATGTGAGGCATGAGTATATCTTTTTAGAATGGGTGAGAATTACCTTGGTGGCCTGCAATTCAACTGTTTCCAAAAAAAGCTGTCGACTGAGCTCCTCCAGTGCATCCACCTCCTGCTGAATCAGTGACAGGTCTGAGGCACAGTAAAGGATTTGAATCATAACTTAAAGGCAAAGACAGGGGGGTACACAGCACACTCGTAGCCTTGAACAATTGTTTGACAGAGCAGACCCCTTGGTTTTCTGTCAAACTGAGAATTACACTGCTTCATCTATTCAGCAAAAGATGCATTTTAACTCACATGCTCAAAATTCCTTAAAAACAGAGAAATGTTCCAAGAGTTCATTCCCAGTCACAAATCATTTGCAAAAGCATCACATCAGATTTTTTTAATTTAATTTATTTTTTTAATGGATTACAACCATTAAAGGATTGTAGAATTCAATTGCTTGGCACTAAAATACAATAAAAGTAGAAAATATCATTTTAAATATAAATGTATATTTAGGCAATCAAACAGATCTATTTCGATACATATGCACTGAATGCAGTTCTGACATGGATCATGTGACTGCAGTTTCAACTGAAACTAAACTTCCAGTTACATACGACTGCACCTAAAATCTTTGTGATTAGAATCCTGATAATGACGATTATCCAAATATTTTCAAGTCTTCTAATCCTTTCATACCTATTATTTTCAAGATACTACACACAATTTACAACTGACATAGTACTTTTGACTTATTTATTGCCTTCCAAACATCAAACTCATCACTGTTGGTCTTTTTAAACTTTTTACGAAGGTTTCTAATGAGCTCCGTTAGACAGATGGCATGCAAAAATAATGTATTATTACCTGTATTTATATACTGAATGTATTTATCTTTTTATAATAAGTGAATTTTGGAGGCCATGGGTCATGGTTTTACAAAAGTTACATCTCGACTAACTGTCACGATAAATTGTTACAAGGACCCGAATTCTTGGTGTACTCATATCTCAGACATCCAAGAGATTCAGTATGTTTTTTTTTCCCCAAGATAATCTGCTAAGGAAAAGACTGAGACTTGAGGAACTTTGATCGTGGTTAAAGAGGACTATATGTTATGCATTACACTAAACAACAGAAAAGATTCAGAAAGGATATTCTCAGTGCCTGGAGGTGTTGATGTGACACTTTTTATCATGCCCCAAAAGCCTGTCTGTTTGTTGTGGTCTTCTCCACGCTGGTACATCATCCTTCGTGTCATAGCAATTCTGTTTTACATAAGATTAAGAAAACAGTTCCTCTCAAATATAAAGAGTATTCAGGACAAAGTACATTTATCAATAAGTTCCATTTAATATAATAAACATAAACCTTTAAAAGTACTTCCTGAATAATTTGATAACATTGATCTTAATAGAAAACAACCTGTAAAATTCGAAATAAACTTTCTGAAAAGATTAAGGATTTAATATTTATGCTTAGTTCTTCTGTGACCTGCAAACCACAGAAGTGAAAATGTCATTTTACTGTCAGCCAAAGATTACATCAAAGAAACCTCAAACAAAACACGTTGTTTTCGCACTACTTGCCTTTTCTTTTTGCTGACAATCATGTCCATAGTCTGAAGAAGCCTCCTCTCCAAAGCCAGTATGTCACTGTCTGTAACATTCCTGTAAAAGTAAAATTTAATTCTGCTTGATTTTATCAATGGTAAGGCAGCATGAGAACACGATTACATGTCCAGAAATGTACACATACATACTGAACTGCAGTGTGCCACTGAAGGAACTGAATGCATGGGCATTGAGGTATTCAAGTGCAGCATGCTGAAGAAATAATTTAGGCCTGCACAGTAAAATTATTAATCTCCTCAGGACTGAATCTGAAGAGAAACTTCAGGGAAAACTTCCTGTTGAAAACTAAAGCTATCAGCAAAAACAGTGTCCACAAACAAAGACATTTCCAACCAAAAATGCTCCAAAAACAAAAACACACCTTGTGCAAAAAAGGCTCACCTTAAGAAGTATGACATGTAAGTATAAGGGCAGTTAACAGCACCAAAACCAGAAAGCAGTGCCATCAGTGTTACGCCAATGACCCCAACACGGCTTATCAGTTGCTCTATGGACAGGATTCCTGAAACAGAAAACAAATGATCCACACATGTGAAGAGGAACTTCAGAGAAAACTTCCTGTATAAAACTGTGATTACACTGGCGTTCTCCTGTAATGAAGCCTGCAGGATCTCTTTATACTTTGAGCATTCTTCTCTTTCACCAGGATTGAAAATTCTTTTGTGTTTCAATAGGTATATTTCTCCATCAAATAATAAACCAAATCTTTTCAAACAAAAACAATTATTTATTATGTACATGAACAGGCTAAAACAACTACTATATTTATGTGCAATGCATTTCAATCATACAACTACCTGTAAGTGACAGAGAGGAAGCTCATTTGGGAACACAAAGTAATTGCTAGTCAGAATAACATAGTGAAACTTTTCATGTGCCTTTTTTGCACTTTTAAAAATACTTGATTTAAAAAACCAGGTGGCTGAGCAACTTCACACTAGGCAGGTATACCGGGAGAGAGAAGCTAATGAATTTGTAATGCAAACTATGAGTACTGCATAAATGACAATCAAGAATCAACACATTTTTCAAGAGCCCTTTTAAAATCATCATCTTATAAACTGCTACACTGGTTCAACCGAAACTTAGCAGATTTAATCAAAAAATTGTTTTTTTCAAATTTACGTGGAGAAAATAACCTTATGCCTGCAACAGGTCATACAAGATAATTTTGAGAAATACTGTATGGCCCAGTGCATAAATTAGTCCTATTTAAGAAATAATCAAATTTAACAGCAGAGTCTAGCAACAGGGTGAATGCATGTACAGTATTATGAGATTTTGGCATTTAAAATAGCTGCCTGCTATTTCTTTTTCATTCTTGTTGATATTCAGCCTGTAACTCTAACTCCAGCTGTTTAGAAAAACCTCTCTCAGTAACTAATTCCAAATGTGGTAAACATCATTCTAATAAGCACACCACTAACTGATGCACTGCTGTTCTTACAAAAACAAAGATAGCCACAAGACAGACATTTTGTTCTCACAAATCAAACTGCTTCTGTTCTGGAAACTGCTTTACTGAATTCAGACTGGATCAGCATTGAAACCTGCTTCAATCACACCCTCAAATGTTATTGCAATACTTTGTGTGTCAACTCTAGGTGAGCTCAGCTTGTAAAAATGAATCCTCTCGCTATTGTTTAAAAATCTTGTGATCTAAATCTTTAAATAAATAGCATATATACCTTACTTTTTAAATTTTGTGTTATATCCTACTAAGTGTGGAAGTGGGCAAAGATGTAGAAAAAGTAATTAGGATATAGGAATATTTAAATAAAAAGTAGTGTATGCCATTTAGACCTTTAAGATTAATGTTTTGCAGCACTATAAAAAATGCCTGTATGTAGACACCTGTATTGTTAATTTAACAAGGCTGAAGAATACCCACATTCAGTACATTAACCTTCTGTTGCCCCCTGCTGCAAGGTGCTGGTACTGCAGTCACCAATACATTGCATATAATGCATACATTGAATTTTATTCAGTGTCCAAAAAAAAATCCCAGATGGCCTTAATACATTTTCACATATAAAATGATCAAAGAATGATACAATGCAACTACTATTTCTGCTCTAAAACTGTGTACTATATTTTCACACCATCTAGAGTGAAAAACAATATCATCAAGTTTAGGATTTCAAGGAGGACTTGATCATTTCATTTTCACATGCTCCCAGGTACCCTAACAAGTATGGGCTTGGTCCCAGGCAGACAGTAAACATTAGATATTTCTGTGCTCAGCCCTTACTGTCTGTCAACAGTGCAGAAAAAATACATGCTCTAACATGAAAAATGTCAACTGTAAAACTGAATGGCTTTGGAAAATAAGTAATAAATCTATAAGCAAAATAAAATGAAAGTCCTTTCTTTAAGACTAATAAATTCATAAAAATATCTTTACACGTGTATGTGTCTCACAGTTTTTCAAACTTACCATGCTTTGGACTAAGAATGGGAAAGGGGTCTCCAAGCTTCCAGAAGAAATACATGAAGGTAAACCACACTACACAGGCAAAGAGCAGCTTCTGCCGCTGCACTAAATAAAAAAAAAGGAATTTTAATTTTTTTTTTTAGTGAGGCAAAAACAAAACAGTGCTGCCAAACAATAAGAAAGGTGCTTTGCGTTCCAGGTTTACAAGAGCTTACAGACAGCACTGCCAAAGACAGCATCATGAACAGAAAATATAAAATAAATAAGGTGTAATATACAGTATACACTTACAGAATAGAGTATAATACATTTTATAAAGAAAATGTATAAAAATGCTCTGCCTGTTGGGGCCAATTTAACAGTCAAGCAATGTTCAAGTATTTGAAATTACAAGTTGTATAGATAGATATTTTATTGATCCTGTGAGGGAAATTGCATGTTGGTAGATGGGTATAGGTTGGTAGATGTGATACTACTTAAAAAAGCAAAAAACAAAATTAATCACCAACAAAAGTCAATCTGAAACTCACACAATCTAATGTTGCTAACCACGAAGTATCCAATGTAGAATGGCACCACGAATATTAGGACCAACAAAATAACATACAGATTCAACTTCCAGTGAAAATACCTAGAACTGAGAAAACAAAAGTTAAATGGCAAAAGATTAAAGATGTTTCAAGCATTCTTGTCTTGCAAGAGGCATTTTAATACTTATTTTCATTAGATATGTTTGTCTTTTTTTTGTCAAACTGTTCAAGTATTGTACAGGGATTGTTAATATCAGCATTTTCGTTGCTACCGATGAGTTTCAGGAATACGGGATTCCCTATCGTTCCTTCCTGTGCAACCAAACCAGAACTAATAAAAGGCCAATTCGAAGATCCACAGTTTCCTTGTACTGTATCTTGTCTCTCTGGGAGTGGAAAACAGCCCCATAAAAAGTAGTGACCAGGTACTTACGTGGTGCTTAACACACCCAGTATCTCAAAGATAATGAGTTCGAACATTGTGCAGGAGAATGCAAAGGTCACAGAAAAGACGACTTGAACAACATACTGACGAACCTGAGGAAATAAAAAAAATGAAGATGATGCGCCGTTTAGGTGCTGCATATTTTATTTTTTGTTGACTAAACGATAATCGCACGATCAACGACTATGTCCAGTTGCCCCTACGTTTACAATTTCATTTAAATTGAAAATTTTCGGGGCGTGAATGTCTATATTGTTGATTGTTGTTTTTATCGCATTTACCTCATAGTCCTTGAATAGCTGCCTCATAAAGAAAAGCCACCCGAACCCAAAAAACAGGACCTGTAAAGAAAAAGAGGTATTGAAATGGACCACATAAATTCAGGTACCAGCAAAACACAAACTCTACCGTCTACAATTAAGAAATGCGCAACACCGTTTAAATTCAGCAGAGATGTCCCGCTTTAAGGTTACATTCGTAATAGATGTTTAATAAAACAGTCTTATTAAAAGTACAATAAGTCTACACCTATTTTTTATTCTAATAGTTACTGAACAATATATATAAATCCATTTGCAAAAACAAAAACACGTGAGTCCCTTCACAACATCGCCAACCGACTTTAAGTTTCAAATGGATATGAGCACTAAAATTACATGCTTTAGAAATGTGTTTCACTTAGTCTCTGTGTGATGCTCTTCAGCATACATAGTATGTAGCCAAGTACCTGAGAAGTGAACATTATTATTGAATCAACGAGAAATGACATATTGATTATTAAAGTTAAAAATCCACAGCGAAAGACTAAGGTATTAATTTAAGTGTTTAGAGCCGCGTTACAACTTTGACTTTACTAGTTTAATACTAAAAGACACAATTATGAAAATCTCCTGTTTCTCCCATTGCACATTTAACACGGTGAAGTGCAGACTGTTCATGTATCATTTCATTGTGCCCGTCGCTGATTTATGACGTAGAACACGGATTTAAGAGGTGTGTAAAAACAAATAGAATGACGGGACAGCAGGTGGGTGCTTTAGTGTATGGCTTTTAATTTAACATTTAATTCTGAACCGTTTCTAACATCATTCACTTTCTAACCACAACAGTGTTTTTTTATATCCGTACTTGAATTTGTCGTGTAATCTTAAGTATTTTTGGATACGAATAATTCAAAGTATATTGAGAAGTGTTAAGTGTTATGCAATATGCACCATGTTAGTTCTTGGAAATTATAAAGGAAAATAAACGAGACAATACAAAAGTAATTTGATATATGTGCTAGCTATCATTGCCTGTTATGTTTCAGTCATACGTTTAAATAATTTAAGTAAACACGTTCAGACAAGGACTTCAGACAAGTTGCCTTAAGAACCTTATACTACATAACAGTCTTATACAATACTAAACTTTTTTATATAACAGTTTTCACAGTATGTAATACTATGGATCTGTACAATGCTAAACTATTAAAGAACTTTCTTTCTTTCATGAGAAGGGTAATGCTCATAAATTACCAAAGGTCACGCATTTTTGTATAAGGATCACAGCTACTATCAGGGCTAACTAAACAAAGTCCCAAGCTTCTCATTCTTCCAGTTCAAATGGAACCTGATTTACTGTTTTCTAAACAATGACAAAGGTTATTTATTTTTTGCATGTTTCTTTCATTTTATTGCAGGTGTGCAAGATTACAGGATTCTGGTAGTACAGGTCTTATACCCTCACACAACCTGTATATTGTAAATCACAACATACATATAATCCTGTTGTCCATGGTGACCTATATTGAGGTGATACAGTATATGCAAAGTGAATCAAAACAAGCATTGAACTGAAGCACAGTTCAATTTGAAGCATAATTCTGTTAAAAGTTAGAAAGATTTATGAAGGAGAAGGTTTATTGTATTTTTAAATTGCTTTAGCTCGTGTAAATTGTTTGTGGAGAGAACATCCTTCAACCCTTTAAATCCAACCTTGCACAAATATATAATATTTTCAACTCTTAGCAACATATTAAAATCAGTGAAAAAATGATTTAACATTCAGCAGTTCATTAGTAGATTTCTGGTGCCTTGAGCCAGAACAATTTTTGAATTGCTGTGAGGCAGAAAGTAATCAGTAAGTGCTTGTTTTATTTGTTTTTGTAAAATACAAAATTTCAATACTGATTTAATTAACTAAGTTACTGTACATCCTGAAATGGAAACAAGTGGATCATTTACAGTACGTTGCTCTTTTCATGCTGAATAATGAACTATAGTTATACGTTGTTCAGGAGGATTGATGCAAATAAGAGCTAACCAGCAGGTTAGTTTCTCAGTCTGGCTGTGTGGCTGTGACTAATCAGCCACAGAAAATGATTAATAAAAGAAACATTAAAAAGGGACTGATACACTGCCCGTTTACTTCATTTATGTCTATGTTGTAAGAATGTTTCGAGGTAATCCAATTGGTAATCCAATTGACACAGGTTTAGTGACAATCTTTTCTGATCTGTTCATAAGCCTGTATTTAAAATGAGTCATTCAAAGGACATGGCATTCTACACAGGAAATGCATTTAAACAGAAAACATTTGTGGAATAATTCCTAAACCACCACGCTGATTTCTGAGATTTTTAAATATAGCCATATCCAATGTGAGAAACCTCATTCAGCTGTAGATAGTAATTTGATAGGTGTTGTGTTTTAGTTTCTGAGTATAAAAGATGTCAATTTAATTAATTACTGCATCTACAGTATATAGTGCTTTTTTTATCCCAATGCATCCTAGAGCACTTTACATAGAGGATGGGACCCTCTTCATTGTTCAAGCCTAGATTAGTATTTAGCCTGGACATGACACTGGAGCATGTATTTGCAAATTCTGGTCCAAAGGAAAAAACATACAACATGAAAGCCAAATGAATCAGATGCAGAGCCATTTGTGAATAACAAAATGTCAAATACCTTTAGTGCCAATCAAATATTAACATTGGAAAGTGCATAGATCAATCAAAGCAATACATTCGTGAGAAAAGTAGCCTGCGGTTTATGTTTTTCGGAGATTCAGTTTCTAAATCTACTTTATAATAAACTCCTCACAATAGTATGTACATAATATACATATATTGTATGTATAATGTACTAAATTACATTTAATTATGTAATCAAGTATATTAAATATTAAATCTCATTACAAAGAAGCTTTTAAATGATGTTGCCTAAAAAGAGGCAGAAGCATACAGCTAATGAGCACTGAATAAGCAACAACAATACTACCACTGCTATATAAATAGCAGTTAAAGGAACAGCATATCCTAAGTGTAAGATGACAAATACATCAAATCTTGTATTTGTCAAATCTTTTGTAAAATACCTGAAAGACATTATGAAGATATATTACTAGACTACCATTTTTATTGTTATTTCTTTATTGTTGATGTTGATAAAGACAAAGTTTGTGAAAAAAGACTACAAGGTTAAATCCAGTCCTCTGTAAACATCTGTACAGATTTCCCTATAGACTATAGACCATGCTAAAATACTGAATTCAGGGCCCCTGTATTATTCCTGCACCACTAGTTTTGCTGATTCAAATATGGGCTATCCTATTAGCTGACCATGACCCATAATTCCCCATGCAACAATGCACAATTGATTGAGATCCACCAGGACAGGTTGAGGCTAGAATCTAGACTTTTGGTATTGATAGATATTTGCAAGAGACACATCACACACTCCAATCAATGCCAGCTCCCTGTAGCACACTTTGTGGTTCACCACATGTCAGACCTTGAATGGCTTTGAGATGTGTCAGAGCAAAGGTTTCACAGGACCTCTTTCTCAAAAATGCAGTTCAGCAGGTAAACCAAGGAAGTTAATAACTGCTTATTTTAAATTAGGAGGGTGAAAAATACAACCAATGATTTAACCAATGATTTAACTTTTTTGTTACTTATATGCATCAGCTGTTTTCAGTGTGATTAAAATGAGATAGGAAGGTATAGTAAAGAAGAATTGTCAATTGTATTTAACATACTTAAGGGCACTGTGGTCTTTCACAGATCAATTCTGAAGTGCAAGAATTATTGAAAAACATACTGTAATTCATACAGCATCATTGATCTGGGTTCTACGTTAATGTGTAGAAATGTTCATCTTCTAAAACATTTCAATGGAATTATTGGGGAGAAAATACAGTAATAAATTCTGAAATATTGCATTCCAGTTAACTAGAGCTTGAAATGTTAAATACTGTACATGCCTGAATGAAATTACAATTGTTTATATTCCAGGAAGCTTCTTTGTTCAGTATGATTAGTCACTGTGCATAAACAGAGGGGAGGTGTTATGTAAAGTTTTTTTATGTTTGGTGCACACCTGAAAAATAAATGTTGACAAGTGGAAAGTCCATATGAGCATGGTCTACTATTAGGATTTTTCTGATTTTCCATCCACATTCTCACTGATGGATGCAGAAGGCAGCAAGGGCACATTAGCTTCCATGAACTGCAGAGTGGTAGCTTCACAAAAGGCCAGTGTTTTTACCATCGCCCTTTAGAGGAGCACAGTTAACCTGGACGTAGTGGCAGACTGAAGAGCATACCACCCAAAGTATTAGAAGCCATAGGAAAGTACAATTTCATGACATTTTGAGAGGTGGCAAATCAATATCCATTATGATTAAAAGTTTCCCCACTAAAAGATGCAGAACAAAAGTAAAATCAGATATTTGGCAGTTGCATGCTGAGATGATGAGGTGTCCAGGGGTGTTGGGTTTGTGGATTTTTGGAAGAAGGTAAAATTGAGAAACCTGAGTATGGTTAACGATGAGAAGGTTTGCCCCCTGGGGGAGTTGCTTGGATGCCCCATCATCTCAGCATGCAACTGTCCCTTGACTGCACAGCGCAATCAACCACATCAGGCACTTTCCCCTGCAACAGAACACCCTACATCACCTGTAAATACATATCCAATACCACACACATTCAAGGCCCCTCTGGACAATTCTGGATTATTCAGTTGACATCATGTATTTCCAGCAGCCTTACTTACTGCACCTCTTGCAGAAAATACCCAGCCATATACATTGTTAAGACAAGAAGGAGACTGAGACTAGGACCTTTTCAGGGAAATTGTCAGGGCTGTGAGGATCAAAGATCTCACCAAACCCACAGTTTCCCATTTCACCTCTAATAGCCATAACCATACTGATCTCCTGATTGAGGTATCACAATTTCCTGTTAGCAGAAGAGTTTGACAGCAGAATGTTCAGAAGTGTGCAGAAAACTCTTGTCTGCCTATGTACAAGCAAATGCCTCCAGAATCATTGGCCCACACTTCATCATGCAGCAAGACAATGACCCAGAACTTACTGCCAATGCAACCAAGAAGTTCATCAGATGAAAAAAGTGGAAAGTCTCCTAATGGCTAAGTCGATCAATGGAGAATGCATTACAGTTGCTAAAAATAGAGACTGAAGTCAGAAACCCGCATAAAGAACCAGAAACTGAAAATTGCTGCATGAAAAGTTTGGCAAAAGCAACTCAAAAAAACAAATAAAGAGATGTTAATGAGGTGTGTCACAGGCTTGATGCAGTTAATGGTTTTATACTACTTTAGTTAACTTTGAGTTAATTTGTTCAAATACTTATGCTCAGGTGAATTGGGGGGAGGGGGGGTGGAACACCCAGCAACTTGATATTCTGGTGGCCCACTATCATTTTGTCTAAAGAAATATCCCCTGCTGTTAGACTATTCTGATATTTAAAGTATCTGCTATCAGGTAGGAAATCATCAAGATTCAAAATCAAGAATCAATATCTTTCAATTAAAAAAATCATAGCCAACAAATGTATTCAAAATAAATATTTTGGGGGGTATGGGTTTCTATGGACATAAATGTAAAGAAACAGCCTAAATCGATACAGCAGGTGCATATTATTTCATTGTGAAAACACTAAAATTC